AGATCCGAATCCGGTCGACTCCGAAACCTACCCGACAAGCTCTAATCTGGATTACTGCTAATAACCTAAAAGTGCGTCTACAAGGATGGAAGTGTCTACTTTGCATCGATTGATTTTAATCTACAGGATGTTTGAAAATTTCACCGAACGGTGTGGGTGGGGTGTGGATGTGGGTGAGGCGTGGATGTGAGTGTGGATTGGTCTTCTATCCTCTCAACCCCCACTCACCCACACCCCACCCACATCTCACCCACGCCCACACCCACACCCGTTCACACCTCACCCACACCCACATCCCACCCAAACCCCACACCCACACCCTTCTCGCTACTGTGAAACGATACTATCATTATACATCTGTTTTCGGATATGTGTATAACAGTTATAGTTTAATCTTGTGATTTTTTAATCATATAGATTATTTGCCATCTGTTGAGTCCCTTAAGCAAGGACGAAACCGATTATGGTTGCTGTTCTCACTCTCACCCCCACGCTTAAGAGAAACTTGTTTCATTGATATGCATGTAGATCTTTGCTCATTTTAACACAGTCTATGACGGTACCTGAGCGTAATCGGTGACTAGCACGTTCTATTACTGAATACCCATGACGACAATAGAATTTTTCAGCATTTAATAAAGCATCCATGTGCAGTTTATTGGTACCATTAAGTAGAGCGAATTCTTCAAGATATGCTAAAATCTTCGAACCAATACCTTGACGACCGAATGCGGGATCGACGTAGAGTGTGCAGAGTTCTTGCTTAGAGAGAATGATGGAGCCAAATCCAACGATTGCAGCATTCTCAGCCGACTCAGCGACTACCATCAGTTCTTCACTGTTCTCTATCGCCTGGCGAAACTGATTGGCAAGACCTTTATCAGTGGGTGAAGGTGACCAACTTTGAAGAATACTTTGTTTGTAGAACGTTGAGGGAGCTGATCCATGAAGAGCAGCATGATGAACACGAACGAGAGCTTCGATATCGAAGATTGTAGCAGCACGAATGTTGATCATTGAAAGCAAAACGACTATTTGTTCCGAGAGAGAGAATATAATTGAGATAAGAATTGAGAAAAAAGAAGCATCTACACATGTGATGTGTCTCACCCTTTATTCTTGACTACACTTGATAATATTTTTTTGTCGATAAGCTGAGAGTGTGTCACATGTCAATAAAAAACAATTATACATGTAATGTACATGATGCATTTAGGGTGGCATGAGGGTGTGAAGATGAGAGGAGATGAGTACGAGATACCAACATCGCGATTTCCATCAGAAGTACTAGAATTAGAGTGGAAGTGTGAAATTAAATAATAATATCTGTATTGATGATCAGAACGAATAAATCGGAAAGATGTTTGCATTGTGTTTAAATTGGTAAAATTCAAAAATGCTAATGAGCGACTGTATGTGACAGAATCGTCGTAAATTTGCTATTTGAAAAATATATTTGACCTTTAAAAAATTGGCGCTTCCTATTTTAAATGCCTTATTTACAAGCTTTATAGAAAAAGAATATCTTTTGTCACCAATCGAGAGCTCACGAAGTTCCTTCCAACCACTATAGGTTTAAATAGAAATCAAATGCTCTAATTTTGTTTAGTGGTGTTTATGCCAATGTTGCTCAAGTGAACATTTGGAGGTCAAGAGTTTATTGATTCAAACAAACAAGGCAGACTGAAGACAATGAAACTTTTTCGAGAATTCTGGGATGTGTAATCAAAAAGCATGAATCGAGAAAAAAGGAAAAAACTTTCCGGTTTTTCTAAAAACTGTTTGATTTTCAAGAAGGAAATGACGGAAAACGTCATAAATTTTGGAAAAAAATGAGGCATCAAATAAAACATTGTTCGAGTCCATATTTAGTCTATAAGCAGAGCTCCGTGACACTAAGAAAACCCTAAAATGGTTCGAACTCATGGTACACATGAACGATGATTTGATTGCAACGTAGGTATCAGGAAATTGTATTTTTTACTTTTATCTCGACTTTTTTCTTTATTCCAAGAAGCTAAGATCTAAAATTTTCCACATAAAATTTTCATTGGACATTGTGAGACTAGTCTCATAGAACTCTGTTTATAGACTAAATATGGACTGAAACGGTGTTCGACAGTTAGGGATGTTCTCTCGTCAGATTGACTGACACGTCTAAGTTTCATTCATACGGGGGTGAGAACTTGGATGTGAGGATTGTTTGTTTTCTCAAAATATGAATATTACAACTTGCTACATTTCGTTTTCTTGAGAAATATTCATTCTTCAAATCAGACATTTGATTTGGGCGCCGACGGGTTTCAAGTTCGAATGTTTTCTTTCACAAAAGAGACAACGTTAGAAATGAGTACTATAATATTATTATCAATTTGTACTTTCCTGATAAAGGTATGATAGGCTTGGTATTGATCAATATGTAGGAGGAAGATATGAAGCCCTTAGAACTAGAAATTTTGTTTATACTAGCAAAAGTTTAGTTGAGGAGCTGGCATTGCTCTCCGTTTTCCCATTGGCCTTAGTGTACTTTTCCATTTGCCAAAGTAGATTTTTCTCATCCATGCATCTTCCTGTACGTTGACCATCTTTCCAATCTCCTGTATATTTAGTCCAGCTTGACCACATGTATGTACCGCTACCATGTCGTACGTCATTCTGAAACTGACCTTCATACATATCACCTGATGTCCATATAGATATACTGGAACCATGTTTTTTATCATTAACCCAGTCTCCACTATAAAAATCTCCATTTTAATGGACATAAGTATCTTTTCCATACATGTCTCCGTACTTCCAATCTTCGGTATACGTATTACCGCTAGTCCATGTATATGTGCCCTGACCATTTGGCACTCCCATGAACATCTGTCCTTGGTATACATCTTCGTTTGAAAACTTTTTTGTTGAATTTGACTCTGTTAGCATTTTTATCGCAGATGGTGTTGACGTAGAAGACAGTGCTGAGCTAGTGGTCATCTTAAGGCCACCTTCCGCCTTCAAAAAACCGTTTTTTCGTTAAAAAAATGATTTTTGAGGAAACTGTATAGGAATGTTGCTTAAGACCTCTACTTTTAATATTTGTTAAAAAAAATTCAATTTCGAAAGGTTTCAAAGAGAACTACTTATAGCTTCTCAAGTTCTCTATAATAATATTCATAAGCGATTCATAGGTAAAATTAGAGAAAAATCGAAAAAAACGATAGATATCGCTATTCTCTATCAGCTGTATATAACGCTAGAGTTATTGGTCAATACATCCTGATTAGTTTTAGTGATTGATATGCGATACCGTCATATTTGTTAATGTCCAACGATGGATCTATAAAACGCAGAAAAAGTTTTTAGGTTTTCTCAAAACCGATTTTTTGGTCAGTAGGGAATGTCCGCGCAAATTGTTTTTTCAATATACTTCGCTCTAGAGAACTGCGTTTTTTTTATTTATTAAGGCATTCGATTCTCCTTCAGATGAGGATCAGGAATTTTTTTATTATGCCCTAGTCCTGTAGAAAATCTCATCTGTCTGGATATCGTACGACGGCTTCTTCAGACGTTAGAGATTCTGAGGTGTCTCAAAATTAAGGAAAGCAACACTAAAAAATCCCTTTCCCTCATCAGAAAGAGTAAACATTTCGCTTTCAAATAAGACAAACCCGAGCTCACTACCTTGAAGTATAGGGGGAAAAGCTTCTACTTGTTGAGGGTCTCTTTTGGGCCTTGATTCCTACAGAACTTCTGAACGCTGAGGCTTAGAGAGTTGAAAAAAGTTTTGTAAGTTTACCCTCATAGGCCCAACATATGTGGAAAGTTTTAGAGAGATTCCGTGCATTATAATGAAAATCAATTTTGGAGGGGGTGGCCTTAAATACTGTTGATAAATATGATGCAACCTCGGTAACAGAAGAAATAGACATGGCACTCGCTGATCTATGAGTGCTACTATTTGATGATGTCTTTGCTGTTTCTTCTTCATTTAGATGAATTATACGAAGACCGTTCAATTCGAATGGATCTCCAACAACATTAAACTATGTACCCGGTAGCAAAGTAATTTCTTTTTCGTCAGGATAACACAAATGTCTATCAACACGTTTTCCGTTCGTACAGTTAATCATAAATAAGGTATTTTGTCCACATTTCTCCATAAATTCCCAAAAACTTTTAACATTAGCGGAGCATGATGTGATCCGCCACCATGTCAACGTTTTTCCTTTTGTGAAATCAACATAATTGTTTATCGTAACTAGGCATGCACCAGACCCGAACTATAGTTCGAAGTTCAGGCCGAACGGTTCGGGGTCGAGTTCGGTCTCAAAGTTCGGGTTCTGGCTCGGATTTGTAAGATACAGATTCAATGGTTCATAGTTCGATAAAAAGAGAACGTTTTGTATATATTTCTTATTCAAGACACTGCACACACTCTCAAAGCAGTGGAAAAATGAGGGGTACGAATCACGATTTAATTAAATCTATATCATATTTGTATATATAACGGAAAATAACATGTCAAAACTGTATTTAATTGATTAACTTGTTTTTTCTAAATGATATGCAATAAAGATAGAAAAATTTGACAATTAAAAAAATACCTTAGAAAGATGAAGAAATTGAATTAGCATAGCTAAAAATGTTATAAAGAGTTTCGATACAAACTTGTCGCAGATTCCTATGAAAAAAATCAAGTCGATTTCAATAAAAATCTTTCTAAATTTAGTCATCGGTTATAATTAAAGGACAGTTGAATATGGGCGGTACAATATAAAACACTTGTATATAATAGAAAAATATTTGTTATGATCAAAACTGGTTGACCTATATACTATTGAATTTGAGTCTCAACCTGAACCATGATATCGAACCCGGACTCAAACGTTCGGGTTCGGTGCATGCCTACTAAATATTCTATTACATCAATTTCAATTACACCTATGATTCATGGTGAAAATTAATTTTTAATTTTACGCCGTCAACTATTAGATGAAACTACGTTTAATGAACATAGACGAGTTGCACGCATTGCCAAAACAATTGATTATAATAATATTCCGTCTAATATTGATCCATTAATTAAAGCAAAATTACTAAAACGACGAGAACGGGCCAATTCTATTATTATTCATTATACACATGAAAGACATTTTTCACATTATAAACGAGCATTTCATCAAATATGGAATGATACATATCATAATACACCAGTCCAAACAACAAAACTTATTGTTGGTAGTCGAAACAATCCAAATATTTGCAAAAAAACTTGTTAGTCGTAATCCCTTTACCAAGAATCAAAACACAACCCATAAAAAACGAAACAACAATTAATTCCACTGTTTCTCCATATTAATCTCTAGTTTAACTACTGTATATAGGATTCTACATTACTTTGACATATTAGCATTTGAAGTATATTTTTCGTTTTTCCTCAAACAATAAAAACATATAATTATTCTTTTTTTATGTAATCATATGAAAACACTTTCATTTTACTCTAGATAATAAATAAGAATATTCAAGACAAAATATCTCACCAAAAAAAACAAAATTCAACAACCATCAAAAGGTCGGAAATTTCAATTATTAAAAATTATAATCACTATGAAACCTTTTTTTAATTCGCAATCAACCAAGGTTTTGATTAGCTGAAATTAATTCCTTTATTTACAAGTAACGCTTGTCTGCAGACTAGCTCAGCTCTTTCTCGTAGAAGGACTGTTTTTAGATGTTAGTTTTTTAATACATTATTGCGTATAAGTTTATTTCTAATCTAAATTAGATACTTTTACACAAATAACAGCAGGTATTTATACGAAATGTTGGATAGAGGATTAGATATTTCAAATAAGTATCAATACAGATGGGAAGATTTATATAACAAGTAACGCTCGTCTGTGTGACTCGCTTAACCCCCGACTGAATATTTCACTGCATCGGCAGTTGTTTATTACTGCAGACATTTTGCAAAAGGTAGCATCGGGCATTTGCACATGGCTTTGTGCTAGTGTCAACATTAGTGTACACATGTGTCGGCGTGTATAATGCTATTGGTACCGTTGTAATACTGCTAGCTATAACATTCGTTCATTTAATCTGTTACTCTATCAATAACACTCAAAAGAAATCTACGTGACCCACACTGACACAGCAATATCCTCAAACCACGAAAAAATAGTATATTCGATTTTCAGAGAAAATCAGCAGACAAAAAATATCAGCGTGACTGCAGTAAAGATGCACTACACTTCACGCAAACTATATTAATAATGCGTATACTCATAAACACATAGGCGGGCAATATCGCTGACCGGTACCCACTACGAAAATGCATGTTTAGCGTAGCTATCAGACTAAAAAGCTATATTTGTTCAAACTAATATCCGGTTACGCAAGTTGAATCAGGCTTCAACTCTGAGTCTTTGTGAGATTAAATAACGAATTTTAAATAGCCGGAAAAAAAATTTGACAAGTCAATGGGCAGATGACGTATCTATGAAGATAAAGGATTATTAAATTCCATTCAAGTCCACTTTTGATGATTCGATGCAAATTGTATTATTGACGCTTTTCAGGAAATGTTCGATTCCGATATTGAAGATCTCCAACACATTCGTTCTCACACTTCATTCAAATACACTTGTTAACCCTCTTGCCAGTTCTTCCTCCCATGAATCCTAGTAAGATCTAAGTGCTAGAGATCCTTCCAATGGATTAGAAGTTTAAAAGAATTCTATTCAAGGGATTTTTTAGGGCAGCAGCTAGTCACTCGTCGGCATCCGAGTGGGTCGTCACGCGCGACTAATTGCTGTTATGCATCGTTCTCTTCCAGTAATTATATGATCATGCACTGTTATTTAAATTTTACTGGATTCTAGATTTGGATTAGTTTCAAAGCTGCCTATATTTATCGCATGAGAAATCCCAAAGTGAAAATACTTGTGAACTATTCCTTATGCGTTTCAATCCTTTACCTAGCTAGTCAATCTAAGATTTCATGGAGCTCGCCATCGAAAGAAGCTTAAGTATATGATTTCACACAAAAAACTAGCTTAATAGACCATATCTCATACCAAAAAAATTGTGAAATAGAAATAGAAGCTACTATATTTCACTGTCGGAGTTCCGACGTGGCGCTATTCACACTTAACTACTACTATCTTTGAACACATATTCTCAAATGACTACTTTCTTATTCAAGGCATGACTAATCCACATTTCGACTGCTTCAAAAGCTTTTCTACTCGTAACTAAAGGGTACTAGATTTCCTATATCCAGCAAGATATCTATTAAATATATACGTGTCGTCTCTCGAGTTTCTCCATGTTTATAGGAGTCCTTCTCTACATAAAGTGTCACATGTTAAGTCTCTGTGGCACTTTTTTAAGGACCTTGCTTGATGTTATGCAGAAATGTCGTAAAACAGATTTTTAATAAACCTAGTTTGGAGGCAGCTATTCGTTCGCCGTCCTTCAGAAGGAACGCCATTCACGGCTATCCGCTACTTCCAGCTACTTTCACTCACGAAAGGTTGATACCATTTTCAAAATCGAGCCATCGTTCCTATTTAAAAAACTGATGGAAAGTTTGATCCTTTACAAAAAAATTCATCCACATTAGAAATTTTCTTTGGAAGCTTATCAGTATTCAGGAAGAGGACACGTTAGTATAGATTTACCGATAATCTGAAATCTTCTTAATAAGTGGACACAGCCGTTGTATCCTGTCAATCTAAATAATTTTTTGCGTAACTCGCTCTCATTCCTCAATCTTTGTTCTACAAGCACTCTAATTCCATCTTATATTCGTATTTCTTGATTCATTACACTACTGTCACGTATTACAAAGTACTTGCTGTTTCTCAACATCACTTCTCATAGAACGAATAGATTCGAGATCTGAATTTTGGAATCCTGATTCCAGATTCGGATTTCTCACCCTCGATAATCTCTAACAAAGTTCGATCAAAACGGCCAAAAGCCGTAAAATAAAAAAGTTCCTTTTTGATTGACCGGTTTCCGACCAATGAAACTTCGGCCAAAGAAATGGGCTTCGGATTCGGATTCAGGGCCATCGATAACCTATAGCAAAGTTTCATCAAATCGTCGAAAAGCCTTAAAATAAAAAAGCTGGTTTCTGATTGGCCGGATTTCACCCAATGAAAGCCCGGCCAAAAAAACTGACTTCGGATTCGGAATCTTGGCCATCGATAACCTATAGCAAAGTTCACTCAAAACGACCAAAAGTTTTAAAATGAAAAAGCTCATTTCTGATTGACCGATTTCTGACCAATGAAATCTCGGCCAAAAAAATGGGCTTCGGATTCGGATTCAGGGCCCTCGATAACCTATAGCAAAGTTCACTCAAAACGATCAAAAGTTTTAAAATAAGAAAGTTCGTTTCTGATTGGTTAGTTTTCGACCAATGAAATCTCTGCCAAAAAAATGGCCTTCGGATTCGAATTCAGCGCTCTCGATAACCTATAGCAGAGTTCGATCAAAACGGCCAAAAGTCTCAAAATAAAAAAAAGTTCGTTTCTAATTGGCCGGTTCCTGACCAATGAAATCTCGGCCAAAAAAATGGGCTTCAGATTCAGATTCAGGGCCCTCGATAACCTATAGCAAAGTCCCATCAAAAAGGTCAAAAGCCTTAAAATAAGAAAGTTCGTTTCTGATTGGTCGGTTCCTGACCAATGAAACCTCGGCCACCGAAATGGGCAATGGATTCGGATTCAGGGCCCTCGATAACCTATAGCAATGTTCCATCAAAAAGGTCAAAAGCCTTAAAATAAGAAAGTTCGTTTCTGATTGGTCGGTTTTCAACTAATGAGACCTCGGCCACCGAAATGGGCAATGGATTCGGATTCAGGGCCCTCGATAACCTATGGCAAAGTTCACTCAAAACGACCAAAAGTCTTAAAATAAGAAAGTTCGTTTTTGATTGGTCAGTTCCTGACCAATGAAACCTCGGCCACCGAAATGGGCAATGGATTCGGATTCAGGGCCCTCGATAACCTATGGCAAAGTTCACTGAAAACGACTAAAAGTCTTAAAATAAGCTAACCTCTCTGGTATGTTCTTTTGACCCTGCCACAAACACACAAACAGACAAACACACAAACTATTTTTTTTCATATGACCCTCCCTACAGTCGAGGGAATTACATCAAACAAAAAAGACAATAAGAAAAGAAACCAAGAAATGGCACCATAGGAAATATCTGATAGAACGAAAGCAAAGTAACAACTACAATGATTAACATAAATGTAAATAAAGAAAATGAACATAGATGAATCATTATTTTTCGACAATTTCAAATTATGATACGTCTTATATACTTGCTATAACACTAGACTCATAGCAAAATACCTATTTATACACGTTCAAAAAGTGAAAGAAGCACATTCTCGCTTTGTCTTTTTGTCAAGTTCATCTAGACGTTTCAGCTCAGCATTCTGAGCAGGAGAAGACCGAACTTGTAGAACCTTCATGTCGAAAGGTCGAAGAATGGCTATATCTTCCGCTCTTTTCACTCTACTAACGAGGGAAGGTCACCAACTGTTCAATCGCTTTTGAGTCGGGACTATGTGCATCATGTAGGTCCTAATGAGCTATGAATACCCTGAAAAGAGTTCGGGCGGATAGCTTATTACTGTCAAGATACTGCATTTTTGTGGTATTTTTAATTAAGCACAATGCTGTGGTCCCCCTCAGGAATCAGAAAAACTGAGTTTCGAGTTTTGACTTGAAACCTTGCACAGAAACAGGCCTCAGTGAGAGTAGTTTATTGTGAAAGTTTCAGGTCTTTTGGTTGTTTCTATCCTAAGATACAGCTAAAAAAAGGTGTTTTTACACTGCTCGTATACCCCCGACGGGTTCCAATATTCTTATTGACGAATGGGAGCAACCAAAAGATCTGAAACTTTCACAATAAGCTACTCCCACTGAGATCTGTTTCTGTGCCAAATTTCAAGTCGAAATTCAAAACTCAGTTTTGCTGGTGTTCCTGAGGAGGACCACGGCATTTTGCTTAAAAATATCGTAAAAATGCAGTATCTTGACAGTAATAAGCTATCCGCCCGAACTCTTTTCAGGGTATTCATAGCTCATTAGGACCTACATGATGCACATAGTTCCGACTCAAAAGCGATTGAACAGTTGGTGACCTTCCCTCGTAAGTGGTACATATATTGATGCCACTTGCAATGGCCCAAGTGGAACTTGTAGATCAACCACAATTTTGTTCGTTGTGAGTCCTTGCGCCTTATAAGTAGTTATTGCGAAAGCAAGTACAATTGGCAGTTGCGTTCTTGTAACTTGAATTACTTGTGGAACTTTCTTTCCACCTTGCATACGTTCGAATAGTCGACCGAAAAGTTGCTTGATGGGAATAGTAAATTGCTTTTTGATTAGTGGAATAGGGATTAGTTTAGGACGAAGACCATCGAGATTTGTTTCTACTTGTGATGTGTTGATTTCCACGAGTGCGTATAAAGATTTTCTTATGTAGATCGTATTTGAAGGAAATACTTCGCTTCTTACCTTCAAACTATCCGGCTCCTCGTGATCATCGTATATGAGCTCTCAAAAAATTCCTTGAGTGTCGTTCGAGAGCCCTAGTTCACAGGCGATATTATCAGTGAGAAGCACAGGCATGTTTGGTACGAAAGGTAGGAGACTGGGAAGAAGCTCGGTCTTGTTGTCAGGAAGATGGTATTCATTTTAGTTTTCGTTTAAGAAAAGTAACACTCATGGGCGGGCCCCCGTACCTGTTTTCTGTGGACGAACTATTTTTGTACAGTCAGAAAATTGTTTAGGATACGTGTGTTATTCGTCCTTAGCTCATACATACCCAAGCATCCCAAGTGATTGAATGATTCTAATGAACCTTGGAACAGAATTACACTGTTTTAATTAATTTTCATCAAGTTTTACCAATGGTATTAAAATAGGTAATTAGTATATAGGTACTTAATATTTATTTAATGAAAAGTGATCTCCGATTGGATCCCCCACCTTCGATTACTTTTGATCACATTTTATACGGAAAATATCTTTTAGTAAAAAGCTAGTCCTTTGTGTAAAAAAAAATTATTGGCAAAAAAAATTTCAAAAAACTAACCTCAGATTCGAGTTCCTCGACCTCGATTACCTTTGGTTGAGTTTTATTTGAAAGAACCCTTTTTGTGTTGAGATCGTTATTCGACTAATCAGCGAAGTGCGGACACACAAGCAAGCAAGCAATCAATCAGACAATTTATGTTTGCAAGACTCTTCTCTACGAGAAAGAGAACATACAATGTTCTACATTTCAAACGGTGGAATTGAATAGAAACGATGAATTCCATACTAGACAAGCACGGTTATGTCATCGAGGTATCTTAATTTACTATGGAAAAAATAAAAGTGAACCGTATCTCTGTCCACCAAGTTATTATGATAATCGTTGTCAATATCAAAATCAACATGTTAGTCTAACTCTATGATTTCGATACGAAAATTTGGATAACCTTAATATTCTTGGTATAATAATTACTTTAGTTGAGAATACTGGTCTTATTCATTCATATGAACAATTCATTTACGTACCTATTCGTGATTGCAATACGAAATATAATATTTATTTGTTGTATCAAGATCGACCAAAAGATATAACGAAAAACTATACAGTTCATATTGATGCTTATGATAGAATTAAACTTATTCATCGTTATCATTGTGAAATTTTATGTAATTCAAGATATTATGAGCAGAAAGGAAATAATAATATCGGATCATGTCAATGTGAATTGAACAACTCCGAAATGACACCTATTGATCAAGACCAATGTAATTGTTCATTAGATTCTATTTGTATTGGTATTTTAAATCATCGATTCATATGCCTTTGCCCTGTAACAAAGATATGACCTCGATGTTTTTTAAATCAATTTGTCAGAATGATACATGTATGAATGGTAGTCTTTGTGTACCACATAATGATCGAATTTCTTTTACTAATTTTACCTGTGGATGTCTAGATGGATTTTCTGGTGAAAGATGTGAACACAAAGATGTCAAAATTGATATTTCATTTATTGATGTACCAGTATCTCAATCTCTTCTGGTCCACTTTATTACAGTACAAGAATTATGACATATATAGCCATGATCCTGCATCAGTTCGAGCAACTATGTTTAAGAAAATAGGATTTTATCAAGATACTGTAACTTTTTTAATGTCATTACCATTTCATCTTGTCTTTGTTCAAATTGTAACTAAATTTTATCTTATTGTACTTCAACATAATTATACAAATTCTGTAAGAATTTATACAGAAGTTACTTAATCGAGATACCGTACACATATTCGAGAATTGTTCAATCAATCAATTATTGATTATTCAATTCTTTATCGAATTAAATATTATCATCTTGCATGTATGAAAATGAAGTTCAATGTTTTCAAGATAAGCCAACCTGTCCAACAAAAATTATGTGTGTTTGTCGAGAATGCGTTTATGGTACACAATATCAATTCACAACACAACAGTTTGGTCTATCACCCGATGCAATTTTAGGCTGTAAGATACATCCTCATTTATCTATTCTTAAACAATCCATATATATGTCAAAGTTAGTATTATTGTAGCATCAATAATGTTTTGTGTTGGTTTAATTTCTGTCATTTTATCGATTTTAACTTTTCGATCGAAATCAAATCAAAAATTTGGTTGTGGAATTTATCTTCTTGTATCATCTACGACATCAACTCTAACTATTATTGGTTTAAATTTAAAATTATGATTTCTAATTTTTTCTCAAACATCTATAATTACTTCGCATAGTTTTCTATTATTTAGTTGCATTTTAATTGAATTTATTCTTCGAATTTTATTATCTATTACTGATTGGTTACATGCCTCTGTTGCTATTGAACGACTGTTTACCGTCATTCTTGATATTAATTTTAACTTAACAAAAAGTAGGAAAATGATAAAATTAGTTGTATTTAGTGTTCTATTATGTACATTTGTCTCTCTTGTACATGATCCTATTCATCGTCGATTAATTGATGATGAAGAAGAAGAAAGAACTTGGTGTCTGATTAATTTAACATCTAATGTGGAAATCTATAATTCATTTATTAATATTTTCCATTTCATTGTACCTTTTTTACTTCAAGTTATCTCAGCTATCCGTATTATTATTTCTATTGCAAAACAACGTGTATTAGTCAACAAACGACACCCACATATACAACATATAAAAGAACAATGTCGTAATCATAAACATATGATAATTAGTGCGTGTTTATTAGTTATCTTAGCTTTACCACGCTTAATCATTTCTTTTTCATTTGGATGTATGAAATCTGCAAGAAATCCTACAGTGTGGAGTGTTGAAATGGGTGGAGAGTGCGGAGTGTGCGGTGTGGATGTGGATGTATAGGCGTGAGTGTATAGGTGTGAGTGTTGGTGGTAATCTGGCCTTTATTCATAGCCACACCCACACACCAACATCCACACCCACGCATATCCACACACCCATACCCGCACTTAGATCGATACCAACGCACCGACCCAAACCCACATTCACCCATACTCCACACCCACACGGCACACCCAAACCTCACACCCATACCCTAAAACACAAACTTGGACTGAGTTAGATGTCACAAAATGATAATTGCACCTGTGTTGTGAAATAACTGTTATTTTTCCTGTTCTGTTCGCTGCTATGTGTGCGTATAAAATCCACCTTACGCACGTGTGTTTTTATTCAAACTGTTGTTCTTCGCTGCAGAAGAGATATAGAAATTCTTGAAATTTGCAGTTAGTTGTTTTGTTATTATTTGTTTTCATCAAATACCCGTTCATGTACTGTGGTTGTCGATGCTGAAGACCTATTGGATGGAAATTACAACAAGAGTAAGTTATTGGTGCATAATAGAGAACCATCATTATTGTGAATTTTATTGTAGAAATCGAAGAGTAATCGATGCTCAGTAACAACAAAGAAACTAAAACAAGGACAAACAACATCTACAACTAGGAAATATCGATCTTCAAAAAATGTATGTATATGATTAGTTCATATATGGAATTAGAATTGGTTGTTCTAGATATCAAAAACAACGAAAAGTAATACGAAAATTAGAAAAAAATCTGCTGCTACAGGCTTGAACGGAACATACTGGAACGTAAGTCACGTGAACCAAAGGAGTTTTTCTAATCATTCTTGAATTTGACCCCCCAGGATACTTCAGTTGATCGTCGCCAAAATCGGCCAGCTTTTAATCTTGACCATCTGGCTAATGAAAATGACAATGATGAATCCGTGTCAGAATCTGAAAACACACTTATCTATTCAAATAAAACATTTTTAACATGTCGAAGTCCGACTAATTCATTTTTTCTCTGTCAAACTCTTCAGAATGTTTACAGTGATACAAAACAAATTCGTATTCGATGGTATTCATTCGCTGATGAAAATCAAGATGAAAATAGAATTGATGAGAACACGCATTTCAAAGAGAGTTATCAAGATAAACTTGATATCGATACGATTCTTACTGAAATAGAATCGGTGAATCGTCATTTTGATAAAACAATTACGTTACACAAACAAGATATTAGCGAAACTAAGCATTTATTACAAAAATCAATCAAAGCAGATTCGAACGAAACATCCGATGTTGTTAAAAGTCCGAAAAGTAAAAAAAGAAAAGTGACAATCAATATCGATGCTGCTTTACCCGTAAGAAAACGACGACGAACGGTAGATGTCAATGACGCTGAACAAAAACAACCTAAAAAGAAAACCAAAGTAAATTTATTCAAAGTACAAAGTAATCGTTTTCTGAAAGAAAATCAAACTGTAACAGAATATGAAGTCGATCCATTTTTCGAATCCAAGTAATATTTAATTGTTCATCATTAGAGAGAACTTTGTGTGATGATTATTTCTTTAGTGTGACTGTTCCATTTATATCATCGAGTGTTCAGAGTAAATTAGCAATACGTGCTGTTATGCTAAATGATGCAGAACTGTTGAAAAGTCTTATTGATGATATCGATCATGTCTATGCGGTAAGAGTAAATGAACCTTACTGTACAAAGCTTGATTCTTCGATTGTTTTGTCATTATAGGTACACATTAAACGTGATCTGCCGAAGAGTCTTTCAGCTATTCATTATGCAGTTAGAAATAATAATACCGAATTGTTTAAAGTACTCATAGAAGACTTATTACATCCAAAAAGTGACCGATGTCCTTATCCAGAAGTGACTTTGCAAAAGCAAACAACAGGAAAGTAAATAATTCTGCTTGAATTGACTGAGAAGAGGATTCTACATGAATGTTTCTTTATTTAGTGCAAGTATTCGTACTCTTGGCTTTCGAACCGCTGAAATTATGGCTAGTCGTGGTGCTCGTGAAGGCAATAATGCATTGCTTAAAGTATGGCATTGATAACGAATTAAGATGTTTCTTTCTTTATTGAAAAGTCGCTATAGGACACAGCCGACGTGTTCAGTCGTTACGATTTAAACTATATCCTCATATTTGCGATGGAAAACAATTGTTCACGTGAATTTTATGAATTAATTTGTACAAATTCATACGTAATCAGAACGAACTTTTCTTGATACATAAAAAGAAAAATCCTTTTGCTTGTTGATTAGGGTGCTAAGGGCTACGATAATGTTATCGTGTGCATTCAGGCTGGTCATCGGAAGTTAGCTGCTAGTATTATGGATGACACAAACGTCCTCAGTCATTATGGATTCAATGAACTTCATCATCAAGTAAATCAAAATCTGAAGATGTTTACAACACACTAATTGCATTCATTCTTCATAGGTTTTGAGTTTTGACCAAGAAGATCTCACTATTAACAGTGCCTGTGACGTTATTAAACAAGCTAAAGGAAATTGCCAAGTAAGACCTTCTATTCGAAAAAGACTTTCTAATGGATACTTTAGGTAACACCTATTCATTGTGCTGCTATTAATCCTAACGCAAAATACTTAAAACAACTCTTGGCGGTTGTATCTGAGTATAATATTGCCGATAAAGAAGAACGAAAACCTATTCATTATGCTGCTGCGTGTGAGGGATTCGATCCACTAGAATATCTCCTATCAAAGTAAAGACTACTAACAGAGAATACTCATATTGTTCTATAATATTGATATATAGAGATGTGAAATTTAATGAAGCTGATAAAAATGGGAATACACCGTTACATGTTGCTACCAGGTATGGTCGTCATTCCAATGCAGAACTACTATTACGTAACGCAAAAGAAAAGGCTGAATCGAATGAGCCTGACGATCTAGCTGAGTATCAAAAATATGGTCTCGCATCAATCAATCGAATGAATACAGCCAAACAGTGTCCTATTCACTTAGCTGTTATCAATAACCATATAGTAACTCATTCTCATTCTGCATCATGCAAGTAAGATCTCTGTTCCGTTTTTTAGGAATGTATTGAGGTCCTTATTCAATATGGTGCAACTATTGATATATTTACGAGCGTATCAAAAGAAAAGCTAACGCCACTGATGTTTGCATGTCAAAATGGATTTCTAAACATTATTAAATGCTTAATTAAACATGGAGCTCGAGTCGAATCACGTGATCGTTTTAAACGAACACCATTGATTCATGCTTGCATGTACGGACATGCACATATTGTTTCATATTTACTTCGTATTGGAGCGAATCCGAATGTATTCGATTCATCGATGAATTCGGCTTTGGTTTATGCGGTTGCTTATGGTTGGTACTTTTGTGTTCGATTATTGATGGAAGCTGGAGCTAATTTGAATGCTGCTAATTGTTGGCAAGTTACATGTCTCGGAATTGGTTTTTCGAAAGGACATTATGGTATTTGTGATTATCTTTTAAATGAACATCAAGCAAATATTAATTTTAAAAATGATGAGGGTTTAACAATAGTTATGCTCACAGTTGATTTAGATATTTCGAAATCGTCTGTACAACAATTGGAATATGCTGTTGTCAAACATAATGCGGATTGTACGTGTGTTGATATTAATGGAAGCAATGCTTTTCATTATTTAGCATCGAAGTCACCTTCAGAAAGTAACAGTACCTTATCTAAAAAATATTATTTTCGAATGGCTCAAATTTTACTTGATCATCATTGTAATCCTACTCAAATGAATAACAAAGCACAAACACCATTGATGCTCGCACTTGAATCGAAAAATTTCTATATGGTTGATTTTTTAATTAATCAAGCAAAATTGGAAATAACTTTGGATATAAATCGTGATGGAAAAACATTATTACATTATTTTGCTATGAATAGTGAGGATGAAAAATTTGTTGAAACGTTACTGAATTTACCGGTAACAGACGATCTGAAAAAGATGAGTCTAACATTGGATAACGAAGGACGAACACCGTTTCATTATTGTACTTTAAGATATGAAGAATGTTTTGGCAGAATATATTATGACTTCGAAAATCGACTTAGCCAATATCAATCAATAAGTAAAATGATTCGATATTTCCTGGATACGCTTGAATGCTTTAGTGAAGAATGCATTTTTCATTTATTATATGAAGGTCCCTCTAGCAGCCAAGATGATCAACATCCATTGGAAATCTTTCTTAAGAAATCGAAAAACATCAATGCTTATCATTTTGGAACAGGTGATACACCGTTATTACGAGCCATTCATAGCAAAAGCTATAAAATTATTAGTATACTCCTTCAACAACCATCATGTGATGTTAATGTAGCTAAATTATCAAATACATACGAAGGTGGACAAACTCCATTGATGACCGCATGTAAACTTCAGTATTTTCCCGCTATTCGTGATCTTTTAAATCATCCAAAGTGTGATTTTCTTGCCTATGATAATCAGCACAATCAAGCTTTACATTATTTTTTAGCTACTTCGACTCGTTCTGATGAATATTTAGAAATTTTTGAACTATTTATCGAAAAATTGATCGCTATTGGTAAACATGCATTGAATTCGAAAGGTAAATCTGGTAGTACACCACTGCACATTGCTGTTCTTCATAACCAAGGTACAGTCGATACGATTAATGTTGTCGAACAAACTCTAATTGATAATGGTTGTGATGTGTTCATTAAGGACGATCTTGGCAATATTCCATTACATAATGTCTTTCTGGGAAATAAGAGCAGTACCGACTCTGTCGAACTTTGTGTTCTCATTATGCAAGCTATGAACTATGAATCATTAGATACAAAAAACAACGAAGGAAATACTCCACTACGTCTTGCTCTTTTTAGAGAATCAGCTGTTTGTATAATGCTTCTACTAAAACGTGGTGCAAATTTATTAGATGAAAACAATCTCTCAAATTCTGTTATTGCTGATTGTATCGCAATGAAGCGTTTGAATCTTCTGGTTACATTTCTTCATCAACCGATCGACATCGATTTGAGTAAATTCTATCATAAGTCCGCTCCATCTGTTTCAACTAAAGTAATAACAGATACCGAGACGTGGAAATGGCATTTTGTACCTGAAACAAAGGAGAAACCACTCGAAGAAGATTCATTGATTTCTTTAATCATCAGGCAGAGCAATTGGCAAGGAGTTCTATCTTTAATTCTCGATGACATTGATCGTTTTCATTTGAAATATATTCAAGTATTAGAAGCTGCAATTTTATATAAGCAACTGAATCTCGTTCTTCGTCTTATAACAACCGTCAGGAATCAAAGTGTCTTGCAAGGAACAAATACCCATGAACAAAATTTATTTCATATCGTAACGATCCAGCAAGTAGCTGATGCAACATTTTTAGAAAAATTTTTCGGTTATCTCTACAAGTTTAATATTGATTGGAATGTTGCTGATAAATACGGAATGTATCCATTACATTATGCTTGTATTCTACATTATAAATCGTTGATTGAATTTTTACGAAAGAAATATCCGAAAGAATTGGATTTCAATCAAACTGATCGATATGGAAATTCAGCTTATGCTTTATTATTCTGGAATTCAGCTAGAAACAGTGCCATTGACAAAGGATTTCTTCGAACAATCATTCCTTCGGGTAGATCTCTTGATTGTTTATGCAATTATGAGAATCGTGTTGTAAGAAATCCTTTGTCATTCAATTTTATAAACGCATCGTCAAAGAATACTATTCCACAAACGCCAATTGAATTAAAAGCTGTATCAACGATTATACGAACATCACCATTGATTAATGCAGTTGTTCATCATAATTTTGAATTAACAAAATTCTTACTTGAACTTGGTGCTGATGTGAACTTTTCTGATGAAGAAAAACTAACACCATTAATGCATGCTGTTCGTCAGGTAAAATAGGCTGAAATCGATTTAGTTATTTCCAGACATTTCTCTGTTTTTTTAAGAATGACCTGCACATGGTAAAGTTATTGCTTAATAAAGATTATACACTTGATGATGATAATCGATCTTCAAAAACAATGTCTCATTCATGGGGACAAAACGTTCGAACAAAATCAAAACCGAAAGGATTCTTTCTCGGTGCTACGACTACTTCAATGGCCGATGACGACAATGAGAATGAAGAAGAGCAGCAGACGGAAAACAAAGATATATCTGATGATAAAGAGCCCATGAACGGATCAAATAAATTTAAAATGACGTCTAATATTGATCTAGATGCTACAGATGCGCTTGGCCGTACATGCATCCATCACTTAGTTCAGCCATTTGCTGGTGCTTCTTATGTGAATTGCATTGAAATTTTGGAACTACTTCATGCATCAGGTGTCTCGTTAACTAAACCTGATCGAATGCATCTATCACCATTACAGTATGTTGCCAAGAATGCTGGTTTTCGACGTTTATATGATAAACTTATAGAATTAACAAATGAACAACCGATGGATATAGAAGATTTGATGAATCAGCGTTTCATAGTGAATGATCCAAATAAGGATCTACTCGGTCAAACAGATTATTATTCAGACGCTCAAGCATATATTAATCAATACATTGCTGCTAGACCTGTAGACGATGCAAATAGCATTCATAAAGTTGATCGTTTATCCAACATGAGTGAAACAGGAGATATTGTCTGGGACACAGATAAGAGTGAACCGTATGACGTTCGATTAACCATCACTGATGTCGATTACGGGCTAATTGGTTTATACAACTTTTATCGAATGCAAATCATTAAACATAAAACTAAGACAAATCTTTATCTTCTATTCACACGTTGGGGACGTATTGGTGATGGCGATGGACAACATCAATTAACACCTTACTCCTCACTCGAAGAATGTCGAGCGGAATTTTGTAAGATCTTTCGTGACAAAACTGGTAACGCCTGGGAAAATACGAATCGATTCGAAAAGAAACCTAAGAAGTATACTTTCATACAACTAAATGATCATCAAACACATAAACACAAGGATGTTCCGATTGACTTTCAACGATTAAAGGATGAGAACGAACAAGTACCGTCGAAATTAAAATCAGAAGCCTATAAGAACTTTTTCAAAACATTTCTCAATGATCAAGTTATTCGAGAAAATATCAACAAAGCTGATTTAGATATTGAATGGATGCCTGTTTCTCAGTTAAAAACTGAAAGTCTACAAAGAGCACGTGATATATTAGCGAAACTGGCAGCAGATATTGAACAAAAAGATAAACTCAAATTAATTATTCAACAAGCTACATCCGATGAAGCTCAAACCTTATCAGCTGATTCTGTTGAAAAAACTGAATTCAAACGTTTAATTGATTCGATTTGTCAACTTACTAATGAATACTATAGTATCATACCTTTGCAAGGTTATGGTGCTGAGAAACTACATATGATTGATACTGTACAAGCCATCAAGATACAAGAACAGAAGCTTACTGATATATTTGAATTAGAATTATCTTATAAAATTCTTCTAGCTGCAGAAGCCAATTTGAACCAAATATCACCATTAGATTATTTGTACAAATCGATTAATTGTCAATTTGAAGCGATGAATCAAAACGACATTGATTCACAATTTATTCTACGCTATATCTGGACAAGTGCGCCCAACACTGTAGTCGAGCAAATACTCAAAGTTGCAAGGCCAAATGACGATGAACGGCTCTTTCAACGAAATCTTGATAACCATTATTTACTATGGCATGGTACAAATATTTGCAATTTGATTAGCATACTTACACGAGGTACTCATTCCTTTGGAGTATATCGATAAGTCAATAGTCTTCTCTTATGTTTTTAGGACTTTTAGTTACACCTTTATGCGCAAAAAGGACTGGAAGTTTATTTGGGAAGGTAATGGATAAAAAAACAGTTTGTATTAATTCTTGTTGACTCTTCTAGGGAATCTACACAGCTGATGCATTTATCAAAAGTCTCAGCTATTGTTCCGGTGTTAGACAAAGCAATGGTGAATGTTGCTTTATGTTGTTATGCGAAGTGGCATTAGGTACTTCTGAAGAAGCCATCGATAGGTACGGTGATGAAGATAAACCGTTAGACGTCGATAAATATCAAAGTCGTAAGGCCCATGGTCGCTTGTTTCCTGACACACGATACATCATCATGAGAAATGACGGTTTGTTTCAATGGAGATCTTTATCGATAGTTTTCTAATATATGACATATTTTCTAGGTGTCAAAATCCCATTGGGTCAGTTGATTTCTTGCGCGGATTCAAATCGCACATATTATCGATGTGCATACAACGAATACATCGTCTTTGATGAATCGCAAATCGCACTGCGTTATATTGTTCAATTTCGTCGATAAAATGTTGTCTGTCGCTATTTCATTGTTAACCATAGAAGGACTTTTGATTAATCAAGAAATAAATTTCACATCACTTTTTTGTTTCAAAAGTTAATGAACAGGTAGTATAGCACTAATTTCGTAAACCCTTTGCTGAGAAGTGTAAATGTGGATTATCTTATGCTTTCGATCAGACATAAACCTTTGCTGGTTTTAATTGATATCTATGTGTAACAGGGTGCGAAAATGCGAAGACAGCGCTTTGACTAAAGTCTGCAGTTAGCTCTCTAAATGCGTGTTTCTTCCATACTGCTTTCGACCCTATTCATTCGTTCAAACTGATGCTCAGTTAGGATAACTGAGACTCAAAGTTTCACTGTCGTATTCAATGAGCCGAGAAAGCTAGTAATGAAAACGAATGAAAATGCATTTGCTTCCTTGAAGAAAAAGAGGGTCCACTCTGAAAAACTTTAGGAGAACTAGATGTTTTTACGAGCAGTCATTCTATTCCGCGATGTTGAACATTTCAGGAATCAGTTCCGCTCCCGGAATCAATTTCACCAATTTTGGAATTCCGGTTTTTCAGTGCGGTCGGAATTCCGGCTGCACTGGAATAGCGGAATTCCGGAATTGGTGGAATTGATTCCGGGAACGGAACTGATTCCTGCAATGTTCAACATCGTGGAATAGGATGTATTCTCATTTTTACCAGCATATTACCCTACAATACCATTGCACACTGCTTCCTAAAAACAGACTAGTTATTCAGTCCTCGTTAAGTTACACAACCAACTCCAAATCACCGGAACATATTTAGAGAAGTTAATGTGTAGAAAACAGTAGCTGTGAGGACATGAAAACTCATAATTGCATCCAAATCTAGTTTCCAGCGTTCTGCTACAACTTTGAGGCGATCTAACATTTGTGTTCTGACTCTCCTGAATATTATGGTTCCGCTTTTTTTCACTTCTCAATCTCCTGAAATTTAACACATTTGAAGCGATGTGGCTCACCGATGGGCCACGCTGTATTGTGAGAATTAACTGTGTCGAAAACCATTTTCTTTTGCTATTGTCTTAGGCAAGAGGTCAAATATAATATGTCATCTGGGTATGGGTGTGAATGTAGATCAAATCAACAACTACACCTACACACTCAAGCACCAACCTTAATAAAAAAAATTATCTTGAGAATTGTCATCTTGTTCTAATAAATAAGCTCCATGTCCTTGTTATAAAGCATTATTATAATCTTGTTATGCTTCTTATTTTTCTTTTAATTGAACGATTGTTTCACAATCATCAATACGAGCTATAAATAAATCGATAGCTGCTTGTTCTTCAGTTGAAAAACAATAGACGGATTCTGTTGATTGATTTTCATCATTACGAAATACTTGTGCTATAGTTACAGCGGCAGCAAATGAAGGAACTGTTCCTTCAATATTTACTCGTTTTAACGGTAAGAAACTTTGTTTTTGTAAAACAATCGACGTTGGTAAATCTTGTTTGAGGCGAAGCATTATCAAATGTTGTAGATATGTGTATGTATATGCTTTAATTTTTGTCACCTACTTATGTATATATGTTAAACATGTAAGTCAATAGTGGGAGAAAAGAAAAATACGACGAATAAAAAATAAACTACTGCAGAAGGCGAACATTCTCGACTTAAATATTATATTATTTCTCACATCTGTCAATAGTTAAGAACGTCTTAGATAACTTACGCATGTAATCATAAAAAATCTTGTTCTGCAAGACAAATACTTCACTCTGAATATAAAATACAACTACGGCCATACTTTATCAGCGCTCTCCCATCAAAAAAGTTAGTTTTCGTTAGAATGATCAAGATTAAGATAATTACATAGGGGAATAGGGTGTGGGTTCTGTCTTTAATTTATTCCACACCCACCCCCATCAAATAATTATTCAAATACTATAGCTGATTCGACTGAATTCTATTATCAATGTTTACTTATAAAGCTAACAGCACAATTTTCGAGAATTAGATTTTGTACTGATTCAACAACTACTGAAAATAGAGCAAGTGACAGTGATAATACAACATAGTCAATTTATTTATATGTCATTGAATTATCGTTATTTGATACTTAAATATTAAGCACACCCGGTACCATTGAGTGTTTAGATTCAATAATCTATGATGATGATGTTAAGACAGAAACCATATGTAGAAAATTTGATCAACCTTTCTTAATTGGCAAGGAGCACGATTATTTTATATTATTGGAAACCAATCGTTACCAAGTTTGCCAGCCATAGCAACTACCATGAACCCAACAACAGGAAATCTTGCATCAACGACCGAAGTAATATCAAAGAAAAATGTAATGATGAATCCAACACAGACACCTTTTGACAAAGAAACAAGCAAACCATCAAATGGACAATCGAGTCGTTGCAGTGCTAAGATTGCTCTGACTATTGTCATGATGGTTGTTACTATGAGCTGCCATCTTAACATATTTAAATTCTAATTCCATCGAACTAAGACTGATATTTTGATTTTTCTATGCTTGCCAATACTTATATGCTACCATACTCTACCTTCTAACCTAAATACTTTAAAATATAAATCGATACTCTCATGCATTTAACTGTTCTAAGAAGTTGTTGATATGACATTGCTTAGTTGCCCCTATCGATGGATGTTTGGAGCTGAATCTAAATCTGAATAGAAAAGTGTCACGTAGAAGCCAATAAGAATTCACCAAGTAAGAGTACGAGATGAAACTTATTCGTGAAGAGATATGAGTATTTTTTAGTTCATTACTTGATCATTATTTCATACTCAGCCGTCACTGTAAATATTGAAAAGAACGAAAGGAACGAACTTTGAATGTTTGTCGAGCACAGAATATTTCACTTATCAGTGAGTCATTCACTTTCTTCTTTCTTTAAATATTGCATCCAATGTTGTGTATTTGCTTTCGTCCTTTCTTTTTTTCTACAAATCATAAACACGATACATTGTGTAGACGTTATGTGGCTGATTTTTTTATTAGTTGCTTTCATAATATTTGTCTTTTACCGACCTTTTAAATTTTGGATCATTGATCCATGGCTCATTCATCGTGATCTGTGGGCTCAAGGCATTCCAGGACGTCACATTCCCATCGTAGGCGAGATACTAAATTTTCGTAAAAGTATTCAAGACGAAAATCCACTTGGGTATGGTGCAGCTTTAGCAGCAAAATTTGGCGATTATTATCATGTTTCTTTCGGTCCTACTGCTCGTTTAGACACATGTGATCCTGAGTTGATTAATGGTGTCCTTAAAACTAATGCTCGTTGTTATCACAAAGCTTATATTATGCGACTAGTTCTCGGAGTACTATTGGGTAATAAGAATCTTCTGATGGCTGAAGATGACATACACGCTCAACATCGTCGTTTAATAGCACCCGTATTTCAACACCAAAATATGAATTCTATGATATCACTTATGATCGATGTTACAAAAAATCTTATGAAAAAATGGTCAACTGCTGCTGATGTTGCTCGTCAAGACAATAAGCCATTAGTACTCAATATACACGAGGAGATGGCTAATTTAACATTAGATATCGTTACAAGTTGTGTATTCGGTACAGAGATTGTGTCTGATGAAAAAATGCACCACACAATTTACCGTATCATATCCGAATCGCTTGAACTAATGGAAAAACGTTTGTATAATATGACTGCTATCATTCCAATTGTTAATCGTCTACCTTTGCCAAGCAAGCGTTGTATCGATAAATGTCTTCGTGAAGGAAAAAGTCTCGTTCGACAAATAGTCGATAACCGTAGGAAAGGTTTGACTAAATCAGCATGTAAAGGTTAGGATCATTTACTCATTATATATTCGGTGGTAATTAATTCGATATTCATTGATAGGTCCTGATTTGCTCGATCTACTTTTGGCAGCATCTAGCAGTGACAAAACGAATAAACTCACTGACGAAGAAGTCTACGAAGAGGCATTAACCTTTGGTAAGTCTACAATTGCGAATATTTATTTCTATTATGAAATATAAATTCAAAAACTCATTTTGTTCTTTAGTTGCTGCTGGACACGAGACGACGTCGACACTAATGACTTGGACTCTTTACAATCTGGCAAACAATCCCGATATCTGTCGTCAGCTAGAAGCCGAAGTTGATTCGGTGCTGAGTCAAGTCGATGAAATAACACCAGCAACTCTATCACTTTTGACTTATACCGAAGCCGTAGTGAAAGAATCATTACGACTTCATCAGCCAGTACCTGCAATAGTTCGTATGGCGGTTAAAGATAATACATTAGTTGCCAGCGATGGTAAAGAAATCCATATCAAGAAAGGAACTGGCATTTTTATCAATTTCTACATGTTGCATCAGTAAGACTTTTACATTATATCAAGGCTAATGATTGGTTTTATGTAAAATAGTTCAGAAAAATATTGGCATGAACCATTCAAATTCGATCCATCGAGATTCGATAACAAACAATCAGATAAACTAATCTTACCGTTCTCTGCAGGACCTCGTTCATGTATTGGCCAAAATTTTGCTATGCTAGAAGCCAAAATAATGTTAGCATTGCTCGTTCGACACTTCCGTTTCGAACTTGAACCTGGTCAAAAATTTACACCGAAGATTATCGTCACTATGAGGTTCGATCGATTATTTTCTCCATTCATTTTAGCAAAAATTTTCTGTTTTTAGGCCGAAATACGGCATGTGGATGCAAGTTTCACCTCGAACGTAATTCCTGGAAGAAATAACATACTGATTTTCGAATATGAACACACTATCTTAAACTCATGTTCTAGTCGCTCCTTTATTTTTGAAAATATTCTCGATCTTTATAAACTTTTTTTATTTGATAAAGAAGAAAACAACATAATTACAATAGAGTTTACAAGCTAATATATCTATGAATCATAAATCAAAATCAAAATTTTTATGTAAAAGTTCGTTTTCTATAAATGATGTTCAATGTTTAAGGAATTCATAGCTTCTTGATATGCTTGTTGAAAACCATGTCGACTTTGTTCGATCATATCTTCATTTGCAGTTAAACTCAGACTGAAATAACCAGGTGTAAAAGATACTGATCTTGGTAGACATAGGACATTATATTTAGATAATAGACGATAGAATGCTCGATCATCTTCTAAAGGTGACTTAACAAGAATATGAAATGTTCCTTGTGGTTTTACAGGTATTTTATATTCGATTGATGATAATAAATTTAATATCATATTCATTTTCTTTTCCAAATGTTGTACTCCGATACTAATCGATAGTGTTCCTAAATCTTGTATCATATATTGTGTTACACAGTCAGGTATCATGAGGGTGTGGGTGTGGGTGTGGGTGTCGGTGTAGATGAAGATAACATCCCACCCTGTCTATTTCTAATATGGCTCTATGGTTGTTAATGTCAAAATGACTAACTTACTTTAACTGAATGTATGTGAAATCGTATGGAACACCGTCGATATTGCTTGGATAAGGATAAGAAACTAAAAGTCGAAAAAAAAAGAATTTGTAAAAGTTGGTTACGTCTTTTCGTTTTCCACTTTGATCTCTCCTCCTTCATTTTATCATTAACTGTCAAATAGTCTCACTCTCACCCATAATTCACTACGTTAGAGGCCAAAGGTCACATCTAATAATAAAACTTAGAGTGAAACTTAGAAGCCCCATAATAGATTTTTTCAAATAAATTCTCTTTCTCTTTTTGGTAGGCTGTCGACCCTCCACGCCATTACTTCAAATATCTATTGTCGAGCTTCAAAGTCTGACTCCAAGTTTTATTATAACAGTATATGATTCTTTTATCATAGACTTTTTAATGAAAATGGCTTATGATGGGATCTAATGAGTGAAGAATTTGAAGTTCTGTCAATTGATAATATTTTCGAGTTAACGACAATTGGAGTGGGTTAGGGTGTATTGTAGTAGTACCCTCAAATATTAGTACATAATCATTATTATCATCAAATATTAATACGTAATCATTATCATAATCAAATATTGCTGTAAAATCATTATTATTATCATCTGAATAGTCATCTCCATAGTTAGTCTATTCATAGAAGAATACATCATAATCAACAAGACGCGGATTCTTCTAATTCATCATCAGAACCATCCGTGCGTGTGTTTGTTGTTGTTGTTGTTGCTATTGAATCTTTTTTATTACTCAATCTTGAATTCATATGATGATGTTGCCTAGTTAAATCCGCTACTGTTATCCGTCGTTATTGAAAAGATTTTTGATTCAATATCTAATTTTTTTATTTTATTATGAACAAGAAGCTGATGCACTCGTTGCTATGTCGACGAGAAGGGTGTGGGTATGGGTGTGGGTTTGGGTGTGGGTGTGGGTGTGGGTGTGTGGGTGTGGGTGTGGATGTCGGTGTGATTATATATTAAGAGAAGATATACACACCCACTTCCACACCCAACCACACTGCCACCCCACACCCACTTCCACACCCACCCACACTCCCACCCCACACCCACACCCACACCCACACCCACCCACACCCACACCCCACACCCCACACCCACATCCACACCCACCCACACCCACACCCACACCCACACCCACACCCACACCCACACCAACACCCTATTGATATTACTATTAAGAAAATTAAACTATTCCATCCTAAATTAACTATTGATGAGGACAACTTAAGAGAATTATTTTACTATTGTACAAAAAGAACGAATTTTATATTCAATAATGAGCATTATGACCAGATAAATGGTGTCTCAATGGGAAGCCCGGTTGCACCTATACTAGCTCATTTATATATGAGTGAATTAGAAGAGAACATTAGCAACTTTAAAGGAACGAAACCATCCATTTTCTATAGATATGTTGATGATATTTTTATGATATTTCAAGGAACTCAAAGAGAACTTGCATTGTTCGTTAGTTTTATGAATAAATTAGAATCTTCAATTAAATTTACGTTAGAAAAATAAACTGATAATAAATTACCATTTCTTGATGTCATGGTGGAAAGAATAAATTCAGAACTAATAACATACGTTTACAGAAAACCAACAGATACAGATTTATATCTTAGATGGACTAGTAATCAACCTCGTAGTTATAAAATTAATCTAATCAAATGCCTTTGCACTCGTGCTAAAAGAATATGCTCATCTGATAATCTCTTCAAACAAGAATTAGAATATTATAAGAGCATGTTCATCACTAATGGTTACCCTATTAATATCATTAAAAAAACTATTCGTAGTATTGAATTAAATATTAATAAGAAAAAACAGATTCATAATATACAAAAAATATTTATTTCTGTTCCTTATTATGGCGAATGCTCATTAGTACTAGCTAATAAGATTAAGAAAATTATACAAACTCCTACAACGCATATCATATTTGGATTTAAAGCAAGAAACAGAATTTCTACATTATTTAGCAGAACCTTACGAAAAACTAATGATATTAAAAGAATAGTTTATGGTTATTCATGTTATGATTGTAAAGGATATTATATAGGTCAGACTGCAAGAGGTACTGAAGTTCGTAAAGAAGAACATAAGAATGCTTTAAATGGCAAGGGTTACTCCAAAATTGCAGAACATTGCCTTAACAAAAATCATCGTAATAATTGGGATGCTGACATTTTAGCTATAGAATCTAATGATTTAAAAAGAAACATCAAAGAAAGTTTACTTATGGATTGGTATAATCAAAAGAAGGACAAACAGGTGTATTCACAAAAAAGCTACATTCTTAATGTATTCTGATCATGAACATGACACATTATTTTGGGGGGGGGGGGGGGGGGATAAAAATTATTTAATTTATCAAAAGGAAACGTTTTCTTGTAATGTGTCATTGTTCTTTTTCTCTCTTTGTATAGTTCATATATTCTTTCTTATCTTGTTCTGTCATTTCATTTCATTTTCTGACTGATGATGTTATGAGTTCATAACGAAACGTCTCACTATTTCAATAAAATGATTAAAACGGTGTCTATAATTCTCTTATTTATATTAAAATGTTTTCACCGTATAAACAAACATAAATCACATATTGGCTTGATTAGCTTCAATGCTACATCGATGAAAAGTGATTTTTTTACCACTTGTAGTGCATATATACCACTAACGATCTGGCACTGTTTGAGCTCTACATAGTGCTATAAAAGGAGGACTATCAAGTTTGTCTTCATAATCATCGCCTTAAACGTGGATCATAGCTACTTTGTTTACATTACACTTTCAGTATGCATTTCGCGCACGGTAACATTTAATCTATCCTGTCACTGTTTTATTTCAGTCATGCCATTCTCGTTCTAGTTATAATTCTTTGTCGCATCTATTCGTTCTTTCTTTGCTTTCAACATACTTTCACTTGATCCTAAGCGCTTCCTATCTTTACACTATGTTTTCTTCACAGCTTGAATTGAATAAACAATATGATCAGTTCTACTGTCTGACCACTTAATAATAACACTGTCACTAATTCATATTGTTCTAAATTCCCTAGTAAAAACTAACGTATGCTATTAAATTGGATATGACATACCAGTATCCGACACGGGTCGGGTCGGTTCGGCTCGGGTCACGAAAAACATACTTGACCTCGGGTCAGGTCGGGTCGGGTCACGAAAGAAATTTTTGAGCTCGGATCGGGTCGGGTCACAAAAGTTTTACGAATTCCGAACTTCACATAAGGAAAGCAGCAATTTTAGATGAGATAATCATTTCTTTATTTCGAATACCTATGGAATATGTATCGATTTACTGAGAAGATTGTCAATGTCTAAAAAAAAAACTTTTATTGGCCAAAAACTATCCCTCACCTCGGGTCGGGTCGGGTCACAAAAAAAGTGACCCGTGTCGGACACTGTGACATACATTTAAGGTGATAATTATCAAGACAAACTTGATAGCGCTTCCTTTATAGCATGATGTAGAGCTCAAACAGTGACAGATCGTTAGTGGTATGTATGTACTACAAGTGGTAAAAAAAATCACCCTTCTTCGATGTACCATTGAAGCTAAACGAGCCAATATGTGTTGGGGTACCAAGTCGGTTGCCCACGCCCATATATGTCCACATTAATATCAAAAATAAAGTGAACATGTAACAAGTAACTTCTGATATCTTATTTTCATTGATCGTGAATAACTGCTTTATTCATGAATATAATAAAAAAATAGTAACCAATTTAAAAAATAGAACCTTTCTACTACCAAACAATACATTTGTTCACTCGACAATTTCCTTGACCTGGCTTACAATTAAATGCTCGATCAAATTCAACAAAATTCGATGTTGGACCAATCACTCTAAGAAAACAATCAAATTATATTGTGAATTATGCTGAAAAATATTTACCGCAATAGTCCTAACGAATGAACATCTGATGAAACAAGATTAAGTGCAAGTGAATTAGTCACTTTTGAGCACAAGGAATGAGCAAAATTTATAAAAAACATTTGTTCAGGAGAATATTTTGAAAGAAATGGTAGTCTTTTATCAACATTTGGATTAGCTTGTGCCCATTTTCGATATGCCTATAGAATATAACTACATCTTTTCCTGGTTATAAAATTATCTACGAACAAAAAAAGCTTCTCGTAATCCACCATTATCAGCAATATCTTCATTTTGTGTTTGAAAACCATTTGCCTATAGAATAAAATATCAAAATAAACAAATATAAACTAAGAAGAATTTAACCTTGATATTAATCTCTGGTATCGTATAATTTCTATATTGATCAACAATACATGTTTTACGTTGAATAAACTTTTCTATTGTTTCATTAGTCCACGATGGAATTCGATTTCCATCTTTATCAAATTGACGACCATCATTATCAAATCCATGAGTAATCTCATGTCCAATTATAGTTCCTATACCTAAGTAACAAAAGGTCATCTAACTTTTCAACATTCTCAATTATATAAGGAATATAATCAAGAATTTAAAAGTAAGATAAATCTTACCACCATAATTAAGATATCTAAAAGATTTTTAACATGATCAAAATATGTAGAAATTAACTTATTTACTTTGGTGCATCTTTATGAAAAAATGGCATTTGGAGAATACCAACCGGAAAAGCTAAGCATAGTAAAAAGAAATCCAAAGAAGATACAATGCGAGGAAAGAGAAAATAAACATACTAATTTGATTTGTTGATGGTAAATAAAACGCATTAACAACAGTTGGTGCAATAAAATTCCATGCTTTGCGATCAACAGATTTTCGAAGAATTTGAAATCGTTCTTTTGCTTTTATTTGCAATAGTTTTAAAACATTGTTTATATAAGATGAATTGAAGATGTACTAAACAAACAAAAAATAACGATGAAATCATCCAATTGTCTTATCAATGAAAGCGTAGGTGGCGGAACCTGTAGGCTTGGAAGGCTTGAGCCTCACTTGAATTGAGCACTATTAGGCTCAGTCTTATCTGAACTACGCCTGTAAAGTTTAGCCACATTAGAATCTAATGTTATTTGGATAGGTAAGACTTATTTCAGTGCAGAAAATTGCAATTTTTTACTTGTTTACCCATCTATTGAGGTGAAGAAATCTGGAAAATTGAGATGGCAATAAAGTTCGCTATCTTTGCCGTCAAGATTCGTAGTAGAGATGCAACAATTCCAATGCGAGCGGATTCCAATTCTTGGTATTGTTGGGACCGGTTGGAATTGGAATTGGTCTGGCATTGCCTCGAGTTGCCTAGGATTGACTCAGAATTGGTAGGTACTGGTCTGAAATTGGCTCTGATTGCTTAGGAATGGCCTAGAATTGGTGGAAATTGATCTGAAATTGGCTTCAATTGCCTAGAATCGGCCTACAATTGACTGGAATGCGTCGGAAATTGCTGGAACTGGTCTAGAATTAGCTGGCATTTGTCTGGTATTTGGTCTGAAGTTGGTTTCAGTTGCCTAGGATTGGTCTGGAATCGACTCGAATTGCTTGGAATTGGTGTAGAATTGGCTGGAATTGGCCTAGGATCGGCATGAAATTGATTCAAGTTGGTACAATTTGAGTCAATTTCATATCGATTTCAATCAATTTTAGGCCAATTTCAATCAATTCTAGGCCGATTCCAACCAATTCTGTGACAATTCCAGGCAACTGAAGCTAGTCACAGGCTAATTCCAGACGACTAGAGCCAGCTCCAGATTAATTTCGGCCAATTCCAGACCAACCTCACACAACCGAAGTCAATTCTAATTCCAATTCCAACAATTCCAAACCAAGAATTGAAATTGGAATTGGTTGGAATCGGAATTGGTGCGTCCCCAATTCTTACCGTTAGTAGCGTCTTTTTATTCATACAGAGTGGTATTTATAAAATCGTATGCTCCAAAGGGAAAATATTTGTATTCGAGGATCTGTCTTCTCTTTCGTGATATTATCATTAACTTCATTTTATTGAGTGAAAATACAGCTCTAATAATTAAAACTACGGCAAAAATATGAACTAAATATGATCTTTAGAGAGTTGATTTGTACACTCATCTGAATTTCTAGGTCTCATATTTTATGGGGCCATGTGACATCATGACTCTACTTGGACGATAGAAGATTACAATAGCATTCATCATATTCAGAATATTGTTTCATGATAATACAGATTTGATCAGAAAAAATACGTACTTTCGAGTATAATATCAGTGATCATATTTTAAGATATAATCAACAAATGCCATCAAAATAATTCCCTGAATTGACTCTGAAATACTTTACAATAAAAAGTAAAGAAACAAACATTCTCATTCTCATTCTCTGTCTTCGCAGTAACTGTCGAATAAGTATTTAATGCGATGAAATCTATTGAAGAATACACTTCAAGCTTTCATAAACCAACCGCGACTTTATCGTTATTTGCTGCCACATATTTATAAAGAAAAATTTGATGGCACTGATGCAGCTCAAATAGTGTCAAGGTTCATATTGTCGAATAAGAAAAGACAAGCTTTTTTGCATTGACAGTCTAATATGGATATGAAGTAAGTGATTCTGATTGTTATGGCGCATGCTACGGATGTGTCATAAGAGAGTTGTGATGTGCGATTCATATGTGTGTTCATCCTCTTTCTTTCCTTTCACACACATATACACTTTGTCCACCATATCTATTTCTTTCGTTCTACTCCGTTCTATAAAGGTATTTTTTCATATTCTTTCTTTTGGTTTTTTCCTTCCTTTCATGTCGTCACTTAGGCGTATTGCAATTGTATTATATCTATCCTTGGGTTATTACATATCTCAGATATATATATACTCTACATTTTGTTTGAAAGTGAATAGTGTGCGCTTAGTTTTAGAATAAACATCATATACACAACAACGTGTTTATCGGATCTAACACTAATATTCTTAGAAATTTTTGTAGCTTTGTGAAGATTTAAAAGATCTTCCATAAAAAAAACCAGCGAAATAGCGCAGTATCTTCATGACGACAACAGAACTTAATAATCTGAAACGGTTTCACACCTGAACTTTGTCAGTTATATATCAAAGTGGTATCCCTGAGATGTAAAGGTTTGCTTAGGATAACAAGCAAACATACACTGAGCCCCACCTGATTTTGAAACGTTCCGCCGTCTTTGAATGAAAGTTACATGTCGTAACTTCGAGATATTACTTACCTCAGCATATTCAGTTTCAAGTTGTGTTACATTATCACTGGCTAAATAATCTGGATATCCAATTTTTTCGTCAATAGCTTCAGCCTACCAATTAAATGTCATTCACGTTTTCTTCTAATGTCTCTTACTTTTTCAATTGCTTTACTTTTTGATATATTATCCATCCATGTCGATTCATTCAATGTATTAATAAATGCTTTTCGAATATTTCTAACAATTTCAAATGACTTTAAGAAAAATATAGAATGAGAAAGTCTAATCAAGAAATATAGTTTTACTTGATTTCGAGCATTATAATCAAAATATTTTTTTATATAAAGTTTTGAAACAGCAAATCCCATATTATCATTGACATAATTTCCACACATTACCGTGCGTGCTTCTTCAGTGGCTGTACCACGAACAATATGATCAAAATCTTTTTCAATACTTCGAAATCGTTTTGGCATATTATGAATTTGATCCATCATAAAACGCCATATAACATAATTTTGTAATGTACGTGGTGGAGTTTGATCAATAATTAATGAGATATTATAGAAATAATCAAGTTCATCTACAGTGACAATATCACTATCGAGGATATCTATACCAGCCCATGAGAAAGCTGAACGTAGATAATTTGTTAAATTAAACTATTCAAGGAAAGTATAACAAAAAAAAACAATAGAAGAGAAAAATCAAAAAACTAACTGTGGTATTTAATAACTGAGGAATATTATCAACAGTTGTACGAATTGTTGGATTTTGTCGACCCAGTTGATCAGCTGTTGTCCAATAATACTACATAAAATAGAATAAATATAAATCTGAGAATTAATTGAATTACTTTTGCAATTTCTTTTTCAAATTCAAATATATATTTGACATCTTGTTCAATCATTGATGTATTATTAGATAATGCTATCGCTACATCAGTGATAAATCGTTGATAAGCATTAGTCATTTTTGTTTCATTGAAATAATATTGTTGTTTATCTAAGCCAAGAACACTTCGACCAATCTATAATAATGATTAAAATATGATATTTCAAATTTTTTTCTACTTACCACAATCTCATACTCTGTCGAGTTTTTTTCATCAATCGATGTATCTACACTAAATATGATATCATTACTATATTGGCGTAATTTGAGTAAAAGATTGAAAAGATTAAAGGTAGAAGCATTCCATGATGATCCTTGCAATATGGGCCAACCACCAAATTCTTGATTGATTAATAAGAGAATTGAATCAATTCCTTCTTTTTCAATATTTTCTTCATTAATACATGAATGATACAAAACTCGAGCATTGCTTATAGCTTTCGGCTCAGTTGCATCATTAGTAGGTAGTGGTGTTAATATATCTGTTATGTAAACAAAATTTATATCGAAAAATATAAGGACTAAATTATACCAATAAGATTGTCATTTAATTGCGTTTTTAATAAACTAGCTGTGAGTGCTAAAGTAGTTAAAAAAAAATTTCGAAAATTTGTTATCGAATTATAATTATTTTCTTTTACCGTTATCAGGTATTTGAGTATTTTTAATCCATCTTCCACAAGCAAAATGATAAAAATCTTCGCATGGTTCGACTGTTTCATCAATGGTTGCAATCAAATAACTCGCTAGAATATTAACTTGTTGTCAATGCAATCTTTCAAGACACATACCTGCTTTAAAACAATATTGAGTTATACATAATTTATGACCTACTAAAATATAGATAGAGTTTTTCTCTGTATTACATAACGAAGAATTATAATTTGTTTCAGTTTTTTTGTTATTTTTCATACCCAATATGACAGCCAATACACATGTACAGATAACACATATTCCTACCAGAGCACCAAGGAATCTATGAATTCTCTTCGATTTAGGTCGAGATATTGCTGAGCCAGTAAGTAAACTAGAAAAACAGATTAAATAATGAATTATTTTTCATATAAATCAAGAAAAATAGTATTGTATGAGATAATTCATACTTTTGCTCTTCTTCTGTTTCAGTACTGCATTGAGACTCCATAGTTACAATTAAAAGACAATCTCAAAACAATTCAACAAACACTAATATATATCAAGAAACATAGTAATTCTTATGTTTTTAATAGTTTTAACAAAAACATGAGTTACATGAGCATGCGCAGTTAAACTGATAAGATACGAATTAAAGAACAACGCCATGCATATTATTTCATAACAACATCGAAAGAATATAAGAATTGTTAAATGATTCACAGGTGTAAATAAGAAAAAACCGAATTAACAATGAGTAAATTTATATAGTACACAAGAAATGATGGATGAGAAATAAATATAATCTTTTAGTAGAAATTTAAATTTTTAAAAAATATAAATGTAAAAATGAATGAATGAATGGATGAAGTGAGGGAATAAACAAATTAATGAATGAATAAGTAAATTAAAGGAAATGAATAAATAAATGAATGGAGCTGAAAAGAAGCAGAACCGAAAAAATAAAGAAACAGGGAATATGTGCTTTAGAAGAAGAAATTAATATTGATGAGAGTAGAATAACTAGGCAAGATTTTTTAATAGTTTTTAATTTTATTTAATGTATGAAAAGGGCTGAGGGTTAGTCACGCAAACTGCGACGCGTTTCGACCTTGCTCAAGGGTATCATCAGGTGGTTATGACTTTCTAACCATTCAACTGATCCTTAGATCACAGATACGTTACCTAACCTAGAAAATTACGAGAATTTTCAAAAGAAATTGATGTAACCTTATGTATCCGTAAAATAGGTGTGAATAGAGCTGCCGTGATCATGATTTCGTCCTGGCTAAAGGACTCTTCAGACTGCTTAAGTACTGTATCTGTTCAAGTGGTTATGATAATCAAAAACAAGTCACTTAACCCATTCTCGTTCAATTAATTCTCGAGAAACTAATAGAAACGATAGTTATCCGTGTAGAGGATGAGGGTTTGTGTAAAGAATATGGTGACGCGTTTCGACATTGCTTAAAAGTCTTATCAGATGGTCGGTATACTGTCAGAGGGATCAAAAGACGTTTCTTTCTTCGAATTAATAGCAGATGCACTTCTGACCGGTGACATCTATATTTAGTCTTTAAGAAACGAAAATATCCGAAAGATTTTTGTTTAATATGCTATAGAACTGGAAAAGGGACATTAATATAATATACTTACTACATATGACTCTCATTTTGTTAAAAATGCATCAGGAAAGAGCGTGTTTCTGCAGCGACGAGCAAGATAATGTATGTCTGATCAAAACTAGCTTCGTTCTCTTTACCACCTGCATTCAACATCGTTTATAAAATATTAATCGCTCATACAAAACCTCAAATGACCATTTTTGTACTATAGTCAATGTGGAGAAGTAGTGTCAAATGAGAGAGAACTGAAATTTAGAGATATAATTAAGGCCATTGGTGATGCTCTTTTTATTGTTCATTAATTGAACAAACGCTTTAGTTTCAGACAAAAAAGTATAAACCATAAAATATAAATGATATAAAAAATATCTGTCAATGAAACAAATGATAAAAAATAATAACACAAGAAGAAATAAAAATGAAAAAAAAGATTAAACTTTTATCTTACTAGAAAAAATCGTTCTCATAAATAAACTCAAGAGTATTCTCATCTTTAATTTCAATTTCATCTTCATCATCACTATCCTCACCATGTTCTTCATAATCGATATCTAGTTGATTTTTCGTTTGAATATCATCCGTATCTTCATCATAATCATCATCAAACAAGCATTTGTTGATCAATGACGACGTTCGTTTTATTTTTACTGCTCCTGATGATTGTGTTTTCATCTGAAATGAAAAAAATCCGTGTTGTACGAGTGAAATCATTTACTAAAAGAATATTTATGAACTTATTTGGGTATTTGTACGATTTTCACATTGATTAATTGAACAACCACAAAAAGGTGTACATGGTAAATTATTTGTTGAACATTTACATCGTTGGCAGCCACTTGTACATTTGACACATTTACTCAACGATATATTGGATTTTGATTTGGATATTGTTGTTTGATAGGAAGAGCCATTATATATATATCAGATGTTGGAAAATAATTTCCATTATGTGTTAATATGTTGATTTTTCGATTGATAATTAATTTTAATTGAATACGCACATCTAGATTAACTACTTAGGTGTATCCAAAAGTAATGTCGCCTCTATCTCATTTCTCTATTAAAAGGTCAAAAGAAAATTCTTTTTTTACAGAAAGATAGAGAAAATGAAGCTCTATTTTTCTATACTATTTGATCCTACTTCA